TGAAAAACACAGAAAAAAAGTCATTCAACTCTGAATATCCGTCACAATCGTCGCTTTGTCAGACATTCTCATGATACTATAAGTTAGAGACGTCACATGCATTATTACCATGTACGGATTGTCAACCATCTATAAATGTGACCTAACAAGCTGCGGTTAGCTGCGGTTTGCATCGATCACCTCAGTTACGGTATTGATACTTCAAAATAAGTGCCTGTTTTCCTCAACGGATAGATAGCAAACCAAGTGTCTTCACCGTATTGCCGGTGACTGTTTACCTGTATATGGAAAACACGACAGATCAAGTGAAACAGCCGACGTATTTGAGAGACCACAGGCTACGCAGTTTATCCCGATTTAAATACTTGGTTCTCTTGGTACTCCGTAAGTTGGTTTGCAGAAATTACTATTTTCCTTTTGTTCATTATAGGTTCGTAGATTTTACTTATTATCCTCACTTTAAAACATGACTCTGTTTTTCATGTTTCATGGATTTAATGGGCGCCTGTGGGAAAAGAACACTGGAACCACAGAAAATGGAAGTTAAAACAGGCCGTCTTAGCGTTAGCATCTGCGTCTGCATCCAACTTTCCTCCGTCTTAGAGGAACGGCTGATGACGTACGTACAATTACTGTCTTCAGATGGAGTTGGTTTGGCAATAAGCTGCAACACACCCAGAGCAACACATATTCCAGAAAGAAATTCAGTCAGTAATGCCAAGTTAATTATAACGCGTCAATCACACCGGTACGATAGCAGAGTAGCCGGGTTGTCAGAGACACCAACAATACCGGGAGAAGTTTCCACATGTCACGTTGCCTTAACGAGATGCCAGCTCTGTCAAAAGCCGTCGGGTCTCGGCTCGCCGCGTATGGTACCTGCCAGAACTCCGATCTCTCTTTGTGCCGGGTCCGCTCTGTTGTAGCGGTGACGGCCGTATCTTTGGTCTTGACAGTCGCCCGTGTTTGGGTCGTAGCACGGCTCCGGTTGGGACTTTTAATCATGGTAGGGGCATGGTGAGCTCCGTCGCGTTTGAATACATTTGTAACACAACGGTTAACATGGCTGTACGATCGGTAGCTAATTGGAGGCTAATAAAATGCAACCTAACGAATGATTACATAATACTGACCTAGGTGTCTGGTAAAAAGGGTGCAGATTTATGACAGTTTTCGGTTGCCCATGCATGTTACATTAGGGCAGCAAGGTGACAGGTGTCTGCCTCTCTCTATGGCGTCATCGGTCATAACCAGCAACTGCATGGTTGTTATCACTCATGTGTTACTGTCTGAGATACAGGCTGCTGTGGGCTTTTCACGAACAGAATAGTATTCATAGGCTAACTTGAGTCTGTGCTGATATTGCTGTCAGATCATCAACCAGTTGCTTCCCTGTGTCGCTTCCAGGTGTGGCCCTAAACAGGAAGAGGAGGAATAGAACATTTCGTCCTAAACCCAGTGACCCTATTAAACCGATCCTTAGTCTGCCGCGTCGTCAGCTGGTCAGCCAGTCCGCAAAATCAGTCAGTAACTGGTAACAGTCTGAAAGAGACGTCTGTCTCCCCTTATATTTTCAGGTGCACCAGTACAGTAAGAAACAGACAGAAACAGCTTATAGGGTGGCGTTGCTGTGCTACTTGGGTACCGTCGCCTCCCATCTGAGGAAACGCTATCACCAGCCTGGTGGACCCGCCCTCCATTGACTGCCTCAGAACCGAGGTGAACGGATCCATTTCAAACCCACGGCCCATGCGCACACCTAATGTTGACTGGGACTCAGCTCCGTTACATCACCAGTACCGTTTGTCCCGTTGCCTTTCGGTTTGCCTGGAGGTTCTACATGGCTCAGTGGTCCAGGGACACTGACGGAATCAGAAAAGGCTGTGAAGTCTGTGAACCGGCGAGGGGACGAGGACTCATCCGAAGGCACCCACCACGTTGATAAGACATGGAGAGGAACAGGCAAGATCACGCAGAGACTCCAGCATCATCTAGAGTTAGGGTGACCACCCGTCACAGCGTTTGAAGTCCAATTCATGCGTCCCGCGAATTGAGACCGTGTTACGCGTAATCAATCCTCTCTCAAAAGTTGGTCGCTCTATAATATATCCTCGAGCCCAGGCAGCCAAACGAACATCACTTGACAGTTCAGCACGCTACTGTTGCCACACCCACCCCTCAGTTGAACTGCTGAAAACTTTTTCGTTGTCTTGACAGCGCACGCAGCCACGCACGTGCATACCAGACACACTGGTAAAATGTATGTAATTTAAAATGTATGTTTTAAGGATGAAAAACACCCCCGCTTAGCAAATGGTGTCGTCCTCTCCTCTTCTACTTGTCCTCTACCTGCACCGCTCAGCACGAACGGCATGCAGCGTGAAACACACGCAGAGTGACAACCCGTTATGTAGTGTTGTCAAATAACTTAGTTGCTCCAAAGCTGTGTCACACCTTTTACCATATCGGTGAGTACTGGAGTCAGTATCCTGAATCCCCATGGTACACCTATAATAAGTGTTTATAATAAGAGAAGTAACGCCGGTTATAATGTTCTTCTGAAAGACGCATGCAGTTCTGTTTATTAACTGTTAGAGCGTGAAAGAAAAACAGCAGCGCGACAAATAAACTGCGTACCTGTGTAGTGCGTGCCTGTGTAATGGGTGCCAGGGCCATCTGTGTGATCTAGAGAATTACAGAACGGCCGGTACTCTAGGACAGCCGGCCAACCACCCGCCACAACGCAAGCATCACCTGTTTTTTTTCTCTAGTTGCAATATTCCTGTTTGGAGTAGTGGGTTACAGCTCTTGGCTGTGAAGCCACCGGACCCAGGTTCAATTCCCCATACCAGATGTCTCAACCTTTTGAAATATTTTTTAAACTTTTATTTTCAGCTAAACTTCAACATTTTAATTGTAAAATTCCACATGCAGTAGCTAATATTAAGAAATATGTTGTGTGAACTCTCACAATAAGCTGGTGCTCTGAAAGGATTTAAAAAAAAACTGGATTTTTGAGTAAATTGAACCAATGTTCAAATTATTGTTATTTTTCAATAGACATTTTTGTTTTTGTGTGAAAAGTGGGTGGGTGGGTGGTGGCAGTGGGGCTCATTGGGTGCTCAGCACCCCTAAAGCTCTGACCCTAGAATCGCCCCTGAGGGGGATACCGAGAGGGCTTTTTGTGACCTATGCAAAACGTCCTTCTCAATCGGACATGGCGGGGAATATGATGTAATTTAAGGTGGTATGTGCTAGAAATCAGTGAATCTGCCCGTGGGTTCGGGGCACCGCCGCGCCAGGCTGTGTCCCACATTGTCCCTCAGAAACATACCCCTTGTCCCCCCCTTGGGCTTATTAGCAGGTGGTCACCCTATCTAGAGTGTGCCGTCACAGCAGCACACAGATCAGCAGAGATCTGAAGTCACGTTTTAATGATTCATCGAATGACCGTTATTCTATTCTGCACGTCCTCTAACCCGTTATGTAAGATTGGGCACTTCATGTAAAGCAGGCCAGCCTGGCAAATTCCTACAGCTTCATAGTTCCACGGAAAAGCGCCAGCGTGAGGTGGCCATAGATAAGCTGAAACCTCCTATCGTGTATCAGGGCTGTGATCGACCGTCTGGAGACGACACACTGCTCCATCTCCAGTGGAAAAGGCGCTTTATCATTTGCCTGTGAACAGGTGAGGCACTTAACCTGGATTGGAAAACCACTGTGTTAACCCTGTTTAATGCCTAGGCTCCAATCTACTGCCCCGTGGACATGCTATTATAAACCCCCGGGACATTTTAATACTGCCATTTCTATTTCCCATCCCTGCATGACTTTGAGGTTAGTGCTCTCCATGAAGAGTCCCCCTAGACCCAGTTTTAACGTTCCTCCCGCCGCTACGGTCGCCTTTTATCTCTTCCGTATTTTATGAGTGAGAGCTGATCAAGCGCAGTTACACTTTTTAATAGCATTGTTAGCTCATCTTTAACTAGGGTCCAATAGTTCTGGACGGCACTTTATGTGAGACAGCATTCAACACTTCCTTTCCTCTGTGAACTCGTCACCAAGCTCACAACCGGAAACCAAATGTTTGGACAGGCGGACCTCATGCTGTGGAGATTGACGACCACGCCACCTCTTTAACAACTGTTAACACTGGATATCACCGACCCTTCCCTTGACTGTGTATTTACCTGAAATTGTTTGGCTCTGTCCAGGTGTGAACATCACTTTAGTCTGTGTACATTCCATAATTGCCATGTTCGTTTCCTGCCTTCAGAGTAAGGCAGTTTTATTTGTCTAATTTAAACGGTACTTCATGCAGACCCAGACTTGTTCAGCTGGCATGACAATGAAGCACCCACGGCGTCTCTATGTCACGGATTACATTGAACCATAGGTAATGTCAAAACGTAGCACTTTTGCAACAAACTGTCACATTTTTTTATCAATGGATCGCCGTAACGTGCAGTATTTTTCCTCTCAGAATGAGAGGGAATAATTTACTTTACTATATGTAGCTCACAGACAGGCACTTCTATTCAAACACCATTGCAGTCCGTGCCTCGACATGGAATCTGCTTGACGTGCAACGTAGCGGAAGCATGTGTGTTTTGTCCGGCTGTTAGCGCTCACGACATGTTTATCCTAGTCCATTTTCACTTGTTGGTTGAGGAACACACACACACACTGCACCTGTCAGATGTTCGTACATCATTGCACCTGATGAGGCAGAGGTTTGGGCAGAGGTTTACACAGCGCCAGCGCATGTTTACCTGAAGTGATAAGCAGTGGAAGCAGAGGAAGTGGAGGAGTTGGTAGCTCAGTGGTAGAGTGCATGCTCTGTGTGTATGATGTCCTGGGTTCCTATTGGAGGAGTTGGTGTCTCAGTGGTAGAGTGCATGCTCTGTATGTATGATGTCCTGGGTTCCTATTGGAGGAGTTGGTGTCTCAGTGGTAGAGTACATGCTCTGTATGTATGATGTCCTGGGTTCCTATTGGTGGAGTTGGTGGTTCACTGGTAGAGTGCATGCTCTGTATGTATGATATCCTGGGTTCAATCCCCAGATTCTCATGCA